ATATATACGCTCTTTTTTTTCCCCTTCATTTCCAACTCCCTGGGGTTTCTGTTCGGATTTTGAAAACGGGAACTCAATTCCTTCAAGCCTCTTCAAGATGAAAGCAACTGACATTCTCATCCTCCTCAGCAGCACCCTCTCAAGAACCAGCACCGCCGCTCTCATCAACAACAGAAAAACTAGCCCCTCACTATTCCGCCCACCACCACAACCACCATCGCTCGTCACCACCAGAGGCTTCAGAGATGACACCTTCTCCAAGCCTCCATCCTCAATAGGCAAAAGATGGACCAGACCTGACTCTGCCACCTCATCAGAATGGGAGGCCCCTTCCTTTGCCTTTGCCTTTGAGTAAGCCCTTTCTTCCCCCCCCACCTGGTCTCTTATACTGATGATAATCCCAGCATCGACGGTGTCCTCCTCCACGAAAAAGCCCCCCTCGCCGGCGCGGCCCAGACCCTCGCGCTGCTGGACTATTACCACATCCCATTCATCCTCCTCACCAACGGCGGCGGCAAGTTCGAGGCCGACCGCGTGGCGGAGCTGAACGAGAAGCTGGGCAGCCACATGACAACTGAGAATTTCTGCCAGTCTCACACCCCGTTTCAGGAGCTGTTGCCAGTGTACCGGGACAAGACCATCTTGGTGACGGGGAGTGACTACGAGAAGTGCAGGGAGATCATGGAGGGGTATGGGTTCAGGAGTGTGGTCACGCCGGGGGACATCTTCAGGGCGGCGCCCGAGGTGTTTCCTTTTGATACCGTCCGAGGGAAGGTGGGGAGGGATTTGCCGAAGCCAATCTGGAGGCCGAGGAAGGAAGCCGGGGAGCATCATCAAGGGTCGAAGGGGATGGTGAGGGATACTGAGCAGGAGGAAAGAGAGGGGAAGTTGGAGGATCATTTAAAGGTTGAGGCGATGTTTGTGTTGAATGACCCGAGGGATTGGGCGTTGGATGTGCAGGTGTTTATTGACTTGTTGCAGTCGAAGCAGGGGTATGTGGGCACGTATTCGGAGGAGAACAACAAGGGACGGTGGCAGGGGGATGGCCAGCCGAAGCTGTTTTTTAGCAACTCGGATCTGATCTGGGCGGCCAAGTATCACCTTCCGCGGTTTGGGCAGGGGGCGTTCCAGCATGCGTTGGTGGGGATTTGGAACGAGGTTACGGAAGGGAAGAAGGAGCTGGTACGGACGAGCTTTGGGAAGCCGCATAGGGAGACGTATGAGTATGCCGAGGAGATGCTGGTGAGGCATCGGGGGGGGTGGTTGAGGGCGAAGGGGTACAAGGAGGGCGAGATTGAGGGGGGTTTGAAGAGGGTTTACATGGTGGGGGATAATCCTGAGAGTGATATTGCTGGGGCGAACGACTATGATGGGAAGGGGAAGTATGGGACGGAGTGGGTGAGCTTGTTGGTGGAGACGGGGGTGTTTGATGCGACGAGGATGAACTTTAAGGATGGGGATGTGAGGAAGGCGGATGTGGTGAAGCCAAACGTTGCGGAGGCGGTGAAGTGGGCGTTGAGGAATGAGGGGTGGGTTGATGAGTAGATGTGTGTTGATGGGATAGATACCTTGAATGAGATGATGAATGAGACCACTGTGTCGAGCCTGATCTTGAAGAAGTGTATTTTCCTGAATGGGGGTCAAGCATTTGAGTGGGTAACAAACGTATGGTAAATTTGGTCCTGTTTAAACTTCATGGAATATACGAACTGGGTGTGAAGGCTCATCTTCTGTCAGCAGATCTCTGTTCATCCAGTCGAGGTGTGAAAGCATTCTAATTGCAAATATGTTAAGTCTTTTGTTGACATCCTTGTAACAACAAATTACAAGGGCCGCTGGTCTAGTGGTATGATTCTCGCTTAGGGTTCACCCTATAGCATTGCTTGCGAGAGGTCCCGGGTTCAATCCCCGGGTGGCCCCATCTTTTTCTCTCTCGCGACTCACCTGCAACACTACTCAAGTAGTGAGGCTATCTTTTTTGCCTATAACTGAAAGGCTATCTTTCTATCTATGTATGTATGGCCCTGTGGTTATGTAGCAAGGCAAACAGCCAACAGCTAGCTCGCTCTACGTGGGGAGTATGGTCACGACACCCTCTAAAGGAAGCAGCAGTAAACTGCTTACACCTCCCAACCTTGATGGAGGTGTGTGACCTCTGCTTGACATTGGCGAGAATATATTGCCATCCACTTCGCAGTGCTTCATGTGATTCCCTCAGGCGCCAAAATAGTACTATCACTCTACGTGGGGCTGTGAGCAAAGATAAGCCCTCATAGTAGGCAGGCCTTTGAATTCTTAGCTAGCATATATGTCTGTGTGTCCCAGGAGATACAGCCTCTCAGTGCCATAGCCGAGGAAACGACCACTCGGGTTTCCAACGTGGTGACACACACACACACACACATCAAGACCAAAGCCGAGACCTACATTTTCGGGTTCGTCGTTCTAGGTCTGTATCGGCCTTCATGCTGTGCTATGCAGCCACGCTTGCAAAAAAAGTCAGTCTGGCGGTATGTGTCTCTTGAGCTTGATGTGTGTGTGTGGTGGTGGTACCGGTTTAATATGTGTGTATATAGCCGGGACCAATGATGTGTAATCTATTGGATGCTATTTTGGTTAGGAATGGACGTCCCGTTCTGCAGCCAGCATAAGAAACGGAATGGAGAAAAAGAAGAGAGACATTGCGGAGGAGGGGGGCCAGAGGGCTGGAACTTGGGGAATGAGTTCTTGGGCAAGTCGAGGCTCGGGAACGGATGGCGAGGAATCGTGGCGATATCGGTGGTTGAGGTGGTGGTGGTGGCCAGACTATCCCAACCCACAGGTCAAAACCCGGCGTCTTGGGAGGTTCGGTTGTTCGGTTGGAGTCGTGCAGAGGATAATCTTCCTATCCCCCTCTGCCGTGCTTGCGTCGTGCCTGCATCCATCCATGATGAAGAGTTTCGAGACGAGGCCCGAGTGTTCCTTGCTCCGAGTACGACAACCATCTCGACGATGCCAAGAACCAATACGTTATCTGATGGTTGCGAAACATGGGGCCTGGAATCTGGGTTGAAAGATAAACATTGCCTGGTTCAGGACCCCTCAGCTTTGGGACAAGGCTCGGACCGAAAGTGCTAAACGGGATGCTCAGCTGGTGTTTTCTGCCCATGAGGTTTTGTGTATGAGTCGTGACAGCGGCAACCAGAGCCAAATGCGACACCGAGCAGCGGGGAGAATGGGACGAAGAAGAGTATCATTCTTCTGCAGGCTCTGCAGCCCATCCTACCGATGGCCCCCCAACCCCCCCTGCGGTTGCGCCATGTACGGAAAGCTCCAAGGTTTTCTATTCGCCAAAAATCATCGTTCGGCGTGGTATGGATATGGCATTAGCTGCAGCTTCCCCGATCTTAGGTGTCTCTGGAGGATTCAAGGTCTTGTGCTCGACATGGGTTGGACCATGGAACATGGGAAAACCGTGCCGGCGAAGTAGAATGGAAATGCGGTCATAAATTGCGCCCTATGTTGTTGAACACTCGCTGGCCTGGTAGTGAGTGTCTCGATCCACGGCCAAGTAAGTGTAAACCGATAAGGATCTGTTTCCGCTGCTAAGAAGAACGATATTCATGACAACTGATTAGACAGAGGCGCTAAAAAGAACATTGCTTGAGATAGGCTTGAGAGCAGTATCATGCACCGAAGCCACACCTGTACGTAAACTCCGAAAGGTGCAAATCGTGGGTGAGATGGTGAAGATGAAAAGGTGGGGGTTGAATGTGAAAGCAGAGTGGGCTTAGTCAGATGGAAACGGGCGCTGCTAACCACAAGAACTCTAAGCGATTGCGGGCTTCAAACCCATTTGACGAATTCAGGTCCGGATCCAAGACTTGGCCAATGGAAACGGAGGTGCACCTGGCAGTCAAGTCGGTCTTGGGACGGATGTTGCAACCCCGGCCGGCTGTTGTTCCCGCCCCGCAAAGAAGTTGAGAAGGAGCAAGATGGCCGGTGGGTGGCTCGTGATGGCGAGTTTGTAGGCATATCCGTACTTTCTCCAGGGCTTGCAAGCTTCTACAATATCGCCATCTTTGTCTTTGATTGGTACACTAGTCATACCCCCGCGAATCCCGATCGAACATGTTGGAAATAATGCATTTCCTAGACCCAAATTCGCCGTTTCAGACCATCGTGCCACGGGGCCAGGCGGGAGATAAGAAGAAGCATCATGGGTCGCCGATATTAAACACAGGGCAAAGAGATGCCGCCATTGGCCGAGGTCTCTTGGATGCATCGCCGGCCATTAGGAAAACGAGCGGCAAATTCCCCGTCGAGCCTACCATGCCGTTTTGCACCCCGTTTTCCCTTACTGATTCTTTTCTAGCCCATCATCCCACATGGGCCCCAAGTGGTCCCCAATCCCGATGCCAGAGCATTTGATATTGGAGGCATGAAAAAAGACCGTCAGTGCGACATCGCTTGTGAGTTGATTCGGCCCTCCGCTTCGGACACCTCAGGCCTGGCACACCCAGCCCAGCCCTGCGGCAGCTATCACCAATGCTTTTTGCTTCTTCTCTCCTTCTTTCGAAGCCGACCATCGCTTCCATGCGTCAGGGCGCGCATTAGTGTTATCTCATCGCGACGGGATGGATCAAGGAACAGCATCACGCAAGCAGTCTCCAGGTCTCTGGGCAATGCTGGGGCCCCCGCCTCGATCCCTGTCACATCGCCGGGAGCTCAACCCATCAAACCAGCCATCAGGCCAATTTAGGCAGGTCAGCAGTCGCTGGGGGTCGCTGTGGTCGACGGCTTGTGTGCTTCCTGTGCTTCCAGAAGCAGCCCCTCCTTCATTTTCACCCGCCAGCGAGTTGACCTGACCCTCCCATGGTCCTGCTCCCCCAGGCCCGCCGAGAAGTCGCCCAGCCGAACCAGTGTTTGCCCTTGGCCCAGTGCACTCCATGTCGCCGACGCTGGCTGCTGCAGAGAATCCACCGTTTTCTTTCCCACCACCTTCTCCCCTTCCGACACCACCACTCTCCATTCCTGCGCTGTCGCCCGCTGCCCCGTTCGTCGCTGGCTCTGTCTCGCCTGTGTGAACCCCGGGCCCCGCTTCTTCACTGATCAGTGAGCCAGTGATCTGCGCATTGAAGCACGAGGCAGCCATGTCCAGTTTCAATATACATTAATCCATCCCCCTTGTCTTAGCTGCGCTCGCGCCATTGACTTTGTTTTCTCTTTTTTTCTTCTCCCTACAACACCAAAACGTTGCTATTTTGCGTGACGGCCCCGACGACACACCACTGGGCGCGTCGATTACACCCTTTCTTGCTTCTCCGGCCCTGTCGCGCCGGGAGCAACGGAGCGGGCCGATACTCGCTCCGCTCAACCAAGGGGATCTCTGAAGGAAGGCAGTGTGGATTGAGACAGAACCAGAATGGCCCCGGCATTTTTGAGTGGCATTCTTCGACGGCGGCGTGATGAGGAGGAGCAACTGCCAAGTGTTGAGGGGTCGTTGGAGGGTGACTCGAGTGGGCTGGCGTCGCTGAAGCATTTTGAGAAGATGCACCGACTGGATCCAAACCTGCCGTTGGACGAGCTGGAGGAGGTGGATATCGCCATCATCTTGAACCAGCAAAATGCCGAGAAGGGGGCGGAAATTGAGCAGGTCTTGAATGAGGACAACTCTCCATATCCAGAAGTGAGAAGCCACCCTAGAAATATGGCCGGCGCAAGAGGTGTTGGAGGTTGTGAAATGAGGGGATGGTCGTTCTAACATTTGTCCTCTTATCAAGGTACGAGCCACGGTACGAAACTTCGATGTCGAGATGCCTGCGAATACGGTGCGAGCATGGGTCATTGGGATGCTCTTGTGTACGATTGGCTCCGCCGTCAACATGCTGCTCTCGCTACGAAACCCGAGCATCATGCTCACGACATTTGTCATCCAACTCATCGCCTACCCATTGGGTCTCTGCTGGGATTATGTGTTCCCGGACCGTGTGTGGAATGTATTGGGGCTCAAGTTCAACCTCAGGCCAGGACCATTCAACTTTAAGGAGCATGTCATCATTGTGGTCATGTCAAATGTGCGTTGTTGATGGTTTTTCCCATTTCTGGATGTTCCAGACGCTAACGTGTACGCAGGCTGCGTATGGAGGTGGCGCTTTGTATGCTACTGATGTGATCATTGCACAGCGTATGTGGTACGGCCAGAACTTTGGCTGGCTATGGCAAATGCTATTCGGCATCACGACACTTTGCACGGGTTATGGTCTGGCTGGTTTGGCAAGGAGGTTCCTGGTGTGGCCCGCCGCCATGATTTGGCCGACCGATCTCGTCAACTGCGCCCTATTTTACACCCTTCATGACCACAGCCCATCCGATCCGACAGTGACGAACGGCTGGAGCATCAGCAGATACAAGTGGTTCATGATCGTGTTCGGTGGCTCGTTTTTGTGGTACTGGTTCCCAGGCTATCTCTTCCAGGGCTTGTCATGGTTCTGCTGGATCACCTGGATCTGGCCGGAGAATGTTGTGGTCAACCAGCTGTTTGGTGGATATAGCGGTTATGGACTGTTCCCCATCACTCTGGTAGGCCTCCCTGTTTGCTTTCACACGCCGTCTTTGGCTGACACTTGCTTAGGATTGGAGCATAATTTCCGGCTATCTCATGTCACCGCTTATTCCCCCATTTCACGCCATCGCCAATGTCATCGGCGGGGTCACAGTTTTCTTCGTTTTTGTCTCCATCGGGATCCATTACTCGGGCATGTGGTACTCGGAATTCCTGCCGGTTCAAAACGCCCACGCTTACGACAACACCGGCAATATTTACAACGTTTCCAAGATTTTAGGAGCTGACCTGCAGTTCGACGAGGCCAAATACATGGCCTACTCCCCGCTTTATCTCCCTACGCAATTCGCGCTCGCCTACGGGCTTTCGTTCGCCGCGGTTGCTGCCGTCATCACACACGTCGCCTTGTACCACGGCCGCGAAATCATGTCGCAATGGAGGCTGGCCCGGCAACAAGAGGACGACATTCACATGAGGCTCATGAAGAAGTACAAGGACGCTCCGGACTGGTGGTATGTTGTGCTCTTCGTCATCATGCTCGGCATGTCTTTTGCCGTGGTCGAGGCCTGGGACACCAACTTCCCCTGGTGGGCTTACATCATCTGCATGCTCATCCCGCTTGTCTGGACGATCCCCATCGGCATCGTCCAGGCTATCACCAACATTCAACTCGGCCTCAACGTCTTGACCGAGTTCATCATCGGTTACATGCTCCCCGGTCGCCCGCTCGCCATGATGATGTTCAAGAACTATGGTTACTTGTGCATGTCACAAGCGCTTTACTTTGTCCAGGATATGAAACTAGGTCACTACATGAAGGTCCCTCCCCGAACCATGTTCTGGTCGCAGCTCATCGCATCGATATGGTCCGCCATTGTTCAAATCGCCGTCATGAACTGGGCCCTGGACACGATCCCCGACATCTGCTCTGAAGATCAAATTCACCATTGGAACTGCCCAAGCGCTCGCGTCTTTTATACCGCTTCCATAGTATGGGGCGCTATTGGTCCGGCGCGCATGTTTTCTGGCACAGCGCTTTACAGCTCTCTCCAGTGGTTCTGGCTCGTCGGTGCCATTGCTCCCATCATCACCTGGTTCTTCGCCCGCCGATATCCGAGATCCCTCTGGCGGTACGTCAACATGCCGCTTATTTTCGGTGGATCAGGCTGGCTGCCACCCGCGACGGTGTATATCTACTACTGCTGGGGCATCGTGGGGACGGCCTTCAACTATCTTATCAGGAGGAAGAAGACAGGTTGGTGGTTGCAGTACAACTATGTCACTTCGTCGGCGCTGGACTGCGGGTTGATTGTGTCAACGTTGGTGATTTTCTTTGCGCTCTATCTGAGCGAGACGGATGCGCCGAAGTGGTTTGGAAACACGGCCGTGTTGGCTACTTTGGATATGACGGCGAAGTCGATACAAAAGGTTGTACCGAAGGGAGAGACTTTTGGGCCGAGTGTATGGCCATAGTGGGGAGTGAGGGTACAGGGGCAAATAGGGGGTCAAATGGGAGGAGTTTAGGGAGTTGGATGTGTTTTTTTTGAGGGGGGGGGGAGTTTACTGGTTTCGATTGATTTTCAGTTCGGAAAGTCTTTACTATATGGCATGTGCTGGACTTGGTTTTGTTCACTTGTGGTTTGATGGTTATTTTTGGATGAAAATAAGCGAGCGAGCAGGCGAGCAATGGTCTTGGGGGGGTTTTGTCTCTCTGTTGATTTAAGGGGTGAGGGGGGTTGATATGGAGAGGATCAAGTCATGTGTCATATGTAGCTGTCTATTGGGATGTCAAAAATGAGATAGTTGTCGGTCAAGGGACTTTTCGGGTTTGTTGTGCCCTGTTTGCGAGTGTCAAGTTTCCCTAAAACCTTCGATATCACTCTATG